AATCTTATTTCTGGTTATTTAGAATTTTCACCCAGACACTAAAATTAGGAATTTCTTCTTGAGAACATCTAGTATCAGCCAGACACTAAATTTGGGATATTCTTCTGGTATTCTTAAATTGGGTGCTTGGGTGATAATTAGGCACATCTGATATAATCACCCAGACACTAAATTTTGAATATTCTTCAGGTATTTTTAAATTTGGTGCCTGGGTGCTAATACCAGATGTTCTAGGTTATCACCCAAGATATCTAGGACCCAGGGCCCAGGACATTTTTAATCTGGGTGCCTGGGTAATAATAATCACCCAGGCACCCAGATTAAAAATTCCTTTTTGATCACATCTGAAATTGTCACCCAGGCACCCAATTTAAACATTTCTTCTTCAGAACATCGAAAATTGTCACCCAGACACTAAAATTAGAAATTTCTTCTTAAAAAAATCTAGTATTATCACCCAGACAATAATTTTGATTCTTTTTTTTTTGTCTCAATTTTTCATAATCTTAAAAAAATTGTAGTAAAAGTGATTTAAAATTTAAATATAATTTCCCTTTTGCTTTAAGACATAATTTAATGTAAGACTCATTCATATAAAATTAATTTACGAGTTTACACTTTGTTTTCTCTAAAATTTATAATTTATAACATATAGAAATCTTTTATAAATATAAATATAATATAAAGTGACAGAATTAAAAATAATGATATTGCACATAATTTACCCGGTTGAGTGGAGAAATTTAGAGTTGCGACTTTGACGATAATAATAATAAAAGAAGAAGGAGAAAAAAAATACCAAACACTTTCATTTTTGCTTAGAAATCTGAGATTATAGCGCAATTAAGAATTGCGTACAAAATACTATGAGCTCGCTCGCTGTTTAACCATTTAGCGGAAAGTTCATTGTCCAAAGACGTGTGCTCGTTGATTAACTTGTATATTATAAATTATACTATGTTCAACAGTGCATCGAGTATATAATGCAAAAAAAAATACTTTCCTGTCACAAGAAAAAAGTTTGCAGTCAATTTATTTATTTATACAATACTGTATTGAACTATTTTCTTAAAATTCAAATTTCTTTTTGACTTTTTGAAAAAAAAAATTTTATTCAATAATTTTTCATTTTTCGGTGTGAAATTAAATTTAAAATGCTCTCAATTTTCTTAAACGATCTCGTAAATATGATTTTACACCCGATAATATTGTAACTTTATTTCTTTCAATTTTTTTTTTTTTTTTTTTAATGTTTAGAATTTTGCAAAAAGTGCAACATTTTGCAATTGTAAATTTCACATTTTGTTATTTTCTCACACTTTTAGGTATATGTTTCGTCCTACTTACACCCAGTGATTTATCTACTTAGTATTCGCTCTTCATATCACTATATTATACCTTTCTTCAACTACTGTATGGAATAAGATTTATATCCAACGAAATTTCAAAAAATAAAAGTCTTTCTCTTCACTTTTTTCATTCTGGAAAAGAATCTAGTTAATTTTTTAGTATACGATTTGCTCTATTTTAAAATAGAATTTTTTTTTTTTTTTTGTTAATTTAACTAATTTTAATGTCTACCAACCTTGTTTTAGGATTAGAAATAAAGTTGTAATTCCAGACTAAAAACAACAAGTGACAAATAAAAACTCCGGGAATTAAAAAACAAGTAGTAAATCAAATTTAAAAAAAAAACATTATTGAAAAATAAAAAAAAGTTTGTGTGGGGATTAGAAACAAAGTTGTGATTCCAAACTGAAAACGAGTGACAATTAAAAACTTCGGGAGTTGAAAAGTGAGAAGAAAATCAAATTAAAAAAAAAAAAAAAAAAAAATTGCAGTATAAAAAAATAAAAAAATATGATGTGGAGTAAAAAGAGGGTAAAATTCAAGGGGGATGGAAAGTAAACTTTATATTAACTTCAATTCAAAGCTTTTTTACTTTCAGTCACTTAAAAATTTGTTTTTCATTATTAAGTTATTAGATTTATTCAGTTTATTTTTATTCTTCCTTATTTTTAGTTTTCGGTATTGTTTTTGTTTTTCAATTATATTTTGTCGAGTAAAAAAAAAAAAATTTTTTTCAACACCTCGGATCCACATTAATTCTTATCGTCACTCGTCGCAATTGCGTTCCTCTCTCGTTCTGCAGTACGTGTGAACGAGACTTTACTTTCTCAAACACGCGACTGCCGTCACTTCTCCTTCTCCTTTACTTTCTCCACCACATTTAAAAGTAGGTCCCAAATAGTACTTAAAGCCACGAGACTCTTTTACTTTTCATTTATTTATATATATATTTTATATATGTAACAAAAATATATGCAAAAAGTCCACACAAAAAAAACAAATTTTTTAAAAAGTAACCAAAAAATGAAAAAAGAATTGAATTTTCATTCAATTTTTCGAATTTTTTAAATTTCTTTTTGTATTTAATTTTAAAAAAAAAATTGTTGATTTTTTTATTTAAAATTCAAATAATTACATTTCCTATTAAAATGAAAATAAAAAAAATAAATAAAATGTCTTCATTAATTTCGATTACAATCAATATTCTGATGATTTCCACATTACCATATTTAATATCAAGTTTCACTTTCAAAATAAAATATTATGAATTATTCTCATAGTTATATTTTAAATTAGAATCATTTTTATTGGATTTATTAACGACTTTTTTTATGGCTTTAAGAGTTAATTTTTTCGGAGAATTTTTTTAAAATTCCTTCACATTTTTTTTACGTAATATTTTTATAGAATAAAAAAAAAATTTTTTTTTTCTCTATAGTTAAAAAATGATGTATTTCCCGGAAGACATTACGTCATGGTAAATTCGATTTTGTTGATGCCATTATAGTTGACTTCACTCGTCTCATTTTCATTAGCGAAAGTGAATGATCTACGTGACAAAGTTTCTAATTGATATATTTCTATTCACACCGGGCAAAAGTGTATTCTATATACACTTTGCAATTATTTATGCTGCAAAACAGTATAATAACGTAAGTTGTTAAACGTGCTTTGAGAGTCGATACTTTAATAATTTTTACAACGAATTTCAACATATTTTATTTTATTATCCGCACCATTATTAAGCAATTGGAGCAGAAAAATTTTTTCTAAAAAAAAAGCAAAATGGGGAAAAAAAGAAATAAAAACCTTACATAAATATCTTTTTATTAATATAAAAATTGAATCAAGCAGAAAAAATGTTAATTGTTCCTTGATTGTAAATTATTTTTTACAATATTAAAAAAAAAAAAAAAAAAAAAAAAAAAAAAATTTTCAGTTATCTTAATTTAGAGTTTATTTTTAATTATATGTAAATTTTGAAAACCGCCTAATAAAAACTGTTTTTAAAATTTACATCTAATTAAAAATAAACACTAAATTAAGATAATTTAAAAAAAATTTTTTTTCCTTTTTGTTAATAATTTTAACAGTGGAAAAAAATAATTTACAATAGGCACTGATTCCTTTTCTGTATTTTTACTCCAAAAAAAATATAACATAACATAATAAAAACTGTTTTCAAAATTTACATATAATAAAAATTAAACTCAAAATTAAGATAAATAAAAAAATTTTTTTTTTAATATTTAATTTAAATATTATTAATTTTAATTTCGAATTTATTTGTTAATTTTAATTTCGAATTCATTTATTAATTTTAATTTCTAAATGAATTATTTATTTTAATTTCTAATTTAATTATTTATTTTTATTTACAAATTAATTATTAATTTTTATTAATTAAATAAACAATAATTGAAAATAATAATTTTGCTTATTTTTGTCAGTATAATAAAAGAAAATTTTTTTGATCGAAATAATTTAAAATATTTAAAAACATCTTCTATTGTTTTGTATATATTATATATAAATTATGATTGTCGAATACGATATATGGAGAAGCTATTAAAATTGTGAAATTAATTCAACTTCTATTTTTTTTCTCTCTCGAAAGGCATTATAAAATTGCAAAAGTCAAGCGGTGAACGTTAACTGGAAATAATTTCACGGCCCATGAATTTCTGCAAGGAAGCCTTCGGTTACTCTCTAGGAATCTAATGTATATATGAGAAAAAAAGAAATTATACATATATTAAATGCAATAAAATTCATTATACCATTTTAAACGTTAGAGAAAAATTATTATTTTTCCTATTCTTGGTAATTTTTAATTGATCATCTTTAAATACTCAACTCATTAGACTTATTAGCAAATATTTTAAATACTATCTTCATATTAATTTAGAAATAAAATTAATTCTTTTATTATTATTAATTTTACCTCTTAAAAAAAAATTTTATTAGTATTGTTATTATTATTATTATTATTATTATTATTAATTATTTTTAGTACTTCATCCACATGCAGCATTTCACCTCCTCTTCTAAAAAAAATTATAATTCGTATTATAATTATAATTATTATTATTATTAGTATTATTGTTGTTGCTATTGTTATTATTATTGTTACTATTATTACTATTATTATCATGATTATTTTCGTTGTTATTATTATTATTATTATTATTATTATCATTATTATTTTCGTTATTATTATTATTATTATTATTATTATTATCATTATTATTTTCGTTGTTATTATTATTATTATTATCATTATTATTTTCGTTGTTATTATTATTATCATTATTATTTTTGTTGTTATTATTATTAACATTATTTTAAATGAAAAAATAAAAAGTAAGCGTAAATTATAAATTTGTTCTATTGGAGATTTTTTTGTTCATTAAAATTAAATTTCTTTTTATTTTAACAATAATTATGGACACTCATATATTGTAGAAATATATACAGTTATATTTATTTCGGTTCGAAAGAATTTGAATTTTTAAAATATAATTTTTTTTTTTTTTGCATTAAAACATAAGCGAAAAAGAAAAAAAAAATCTCGCAGAAAGAAAATTTATATTCTTGCTATGATCTATAGAATAGAATTGTAAATTATTTTTGTTTTAATTTCATTTGACAAATTTATAGAAATTATTTTTATTCTCTACTTTGCATTTTTTTTGTATTATATAAACGGGACAATAAACTCTCTCCCTCTCTCTACATATATATATTTTGTAGAAATTATAACATATTCTGTAATTGCATTATAATTAATGTTCAATTCAATTTTCTTTTGTTCCTCTGAACACTACTAGATATATATTTATATTTTTTTATATATATGATTCATTTTGTTTTATGTAATTTATAATAAATTTCTAATTTCTATTTTGTTAATTAATTATAATTGACAATGACAAAGATATATATCTCTTCCTGTGAGTGGATTTTTTTTTTTTTTTTTTTTTTTTTTGAAATGTGAAAAAAGAAATGTGGTAAATATTTTTCATCGATGATTTATCATCTAACGCAAAATAGATGATTAAAATTAAAAAAATAATTGAGGAATTTTTTTTTATTGCAAACAAAGAGTATTTAAATTTTAAATAATTTTCTTTGAAATGCGACTAAGAAGATATTTATTTTTTTCTTAGGGGAGGGAATGAATTTTTTTTTCTTCAATGTTTTCTCTACTATGTTTGATGCTAAAGATGTTCTTGATTTTAAACGGAGAATCGACAAAAAACGACACTACTCCTTTTTCAAAGCCAATGGAAATTTCTTTTTTATTAGCAGCGACTTGTATCTGAAAACAGAAAATTTATTATATTAATAACATTAATGTATTTATTTTATTATTTTATCATAATCAGCGACCTCAAAAATCCCTGAGTAACAAGTTTCACTCGATTTCAAGTAAATTCTAAAAGACCGCCATATTGGATCCGCCATTTTGAATTTTGAGAATCTGACCTTAAATTCGTAATCAGTGTTCTCAAAAACTCTTTTTTTTTTGGGCAAATGTTTAAAAATTGTGTTAAATTGAAAAGAACTGAATAGAAGAACGTCTCAAAAAGCATGGAATTTGTATAATTTAGAAAAAAAGAGTAAAAAAAATATTGTTTTCAAGAAATTAATCTAGAATGCTTACTAAACATTTCGCAAAGCACTAGAGGATTTTGCTCATCATCTTGTTTGTCCACGTCTTCATTGTTCTCCTTATTTCTGTCATATTTCATTCGATCCTCTTTTTTTATATGCTGCATTCGATCCAAATAATTGAGGACTTCCTCAAAATCCCTTAAGGCTGCTGCATTATAAAATTGTGAATGAGCCCTTTTTCCATAACGACTTCCAGTGTAGAAACGATCGACTCTGGGTGCCATGTCAGAGACCTTAGGTCCGGTTCGTGAATTTTTCATTGTCATCATTCCACTTCTTCCATATCTACTCCCAGCCAGGAATACTTCACCTACTGCTAAAGTATTTAAAAAAAAATAAATTTTTAAATTAATTTTATTTTTTATAATTCATTACAATTACTTATGCAGTGTATTAGGAATAAAATTGGTTATATTTTCTTTAAGTACATCATTATTGCCCTAGGGTAATAATGAGTAGTTTATTGACCTACGAGCGGTGAATAAAGTGACCATTATTGCCCTAGGGCAATAATGAGTAGTTTACCGCTCGCTCTTTAAGTGACTATAATTGCCCTAGGGAAATAATGAACACTGAAAGAGCGAGCGGTAAATAAAATAATGCTAAAAAATAATAAAAAAAAAATTTATTAAATATTATAAAACAAACATTTAAAATACATTTCGCGAAAGTGAAATAATTTATAAATTAATCTATCATCATTATATTTAAAATGATGTAGTGTAGAATAATTTTAATTAAAAATGAAAAGAATATTTAATGACGTAGAACATTCAGAAACGTCAATGAATGCTAAATAACTTAATTATATAAATAGCTAATACATATGAACTGAAGATTATACTCTTCTTAATGTAATTAGCCATGCAAAAAGGCATTTTGGCTTTCAATTTCCGGAAGCTGAGAACATCATCATCAAAACAACAAAAGATCATGTAACATCCGACGAGAAACACAATTTAATTGTAGCTATTTGAACCACACTTTGGTATTCGACACAAAGTGACCAATGACCTATCTTAATAATAGAGTCATGAAATACACTAATGTAATTAGTGTGTCCCTTTTTATTATTTAGTTCTTTTTAAGACTCGACGACAAGTCAAAGAAAAAAATGCAACACTACCAACCACTGTTTCTCTTTTTGCGAATGCAAAAATAAAAATAACATTACTTTTTCATTTTGTATAACGAATGAAAAAAACATCTCTGTTTCTACAATCTCAACAATTTTTTTTTTAGATAAAAAACATTGTTTAATTAAAAAAAAAAAAAAAAAAAAAAAAAAAAATTTAAAACATTCTGGATCTGAAACATACTTTATCCAAACAATTTTTTAACTTAAAAACTTTGTATCTAGCTTTGTATCTAAAAAATGTTTTAAGTAACAAATTTTTCAACTAAAAAATATTTTAATAAACAAATTTGTCAAGTGAATATTTTGTCAATGAATATTTTCTACGTACGAAATTTTTCATCTAACAAATATTTTTTAAGTAGAAAATTCTTCAACTAACGAATATTTTAAGCAACAAATTTTTCAAAGAACAAATATTTTTTTTAAGTTTAAAATTATGAAACTATGCAAAATTTTGCACATAAAAAATTTTTAAGCAACAATTTTTTTAACTAAAGAATATTTTAAGCAACAAATTTTTCAACTAAAAAATATTTTAAGCAACAAATTTTTCAACTAAAAAATATTTTAAGCAACAAATTTTTCAACTGAAAAAATGTTTTTAAGTACAAAATTTTTTTTCAACTAACAAATATTTTTTTGGTGAAAAATTTTTCAACTAACTTTCTTTATATAAGTAAAAAATTTTTCAACTATAGAAAATATTTTTTAGGTACAAAAATTTTTTTAACTAACAAATATGTTTTCAGTTCAAAATTTTTCCATTGACAAATATTTCAAGCAAAGAAATTTTCAACTAAAAAATATTTCAAGCAAAAGAAATTCTCAACTAAACAAATATTTCAAGCAAAGAAATTCTCAACTAAACAAATATTTAAAGCAAAGAAAGTTTCAACGAATAAATATTTTAAGCGAAAAATTTTTCAACCATCAAATATTCTCTTTTAATTACAAAATTTTTCAAATAAAAAATATTTCAAGCAAAAAAATATGTTCAACTAACAAATATTTTAGGCGAAAAACTGTATAATTAAAAAATATTTCATCTAAAAAATTATTTTCCGGAAAAATTATTTTCTTATATTTCTTCTATAATTTATAAGACTTTCCTCAGAAAGAATTTATCATTAAAAAAATATTTTTTTTCAATAAGATTTTCATTTTTTTTTCATAAAATACTTTTCTTTTTTAATTTAAAAAAAAAAATTTTTTAAAAAGATTAATTTAAAAAAAAAAAATTTTTTAATTTTGAAAATTTTTTTTTGAAAAAATAAAATAAATTTGAATTAAATTTAAATAAAATTACATACGAGCAGCACTTTCTTCTCTTTTGCCGTATCGACCACTTGTGTAAAAATTGTTTTGCGAAAAAGCCAGAGTTACAAAATTGCAGCTGATCCAAAGCCATATCATCAATTCTATACTACTGAAGCCTAATACGGCTGACGCAAGTCGTACTTTTCTACTGTTGGCGATCATTTTTTTTTTTTTATCTGAAACATAGAAAAAGCGTATAAAAAAAAATTTGTATATAAATTTTTTTTTTACATATTTTACATAAAATTTTTCAATTTTTATCTACAATTTTTTTTTTCTTTAAGGAGTTAGAGAAAACCTTTTTTTAAAAAGAAAATAAAAATTTTTATCTTTTGCATAGTAAATTTTGTAAAATATATATGCAAATTTTAAAACTTACATATAATAATAAACAATTTCATCTGGAATTTAACTCTAATTAAAAATAATGATTTATATTATTTCTTTTTTCTATATAAAAATAAATAATAAAATTTACGAGTATCAATTTAAAAAAGTTTCTTTATTTAAAAAATAGAAAATAAACTTCTATTTTGAAAACAATGCACCTGAGGCTATTGCACAAGAAAAGTTCCTTCCATTACAAACCCCTTATTATTGAGAGACAATTCTTTAAATTAACTACTAATAAATTCTCATATTTTCCTCTCATTTTTTTTCTCCATAAAAAAGTAAGAAAAATATTGTAATATAAAAAATCATTTGACAATATATTATTAATTATTTTTATTTTTACAAAATTAAATAATTTTTAATAATAAAATTAAATTTAATAAATTAAATTTTTACAAAATTGAATAATTTTAATAATAGAATTAAATTGAAGAAATTAAATTTTTACAAAATAAAGCTTAATAGTATCAAATTGTAACGAATTGATAACAAAAATGTGGATCAAATAAAAAATTGATCCAAATTTTTGGTGTCAATTTGATCCTCTTTAGTATAAATTTGATTGAAAAAAAAAAACAGTGAAGTAAATGAAAATAAGTATTTAGTATTTTAAATAATAGTATTTTAAATTTTCTAAATTTTTCAAAGAATTTCTTAAAATAAAAAAAATTTTTTTTTTAATTTTTTTAAAATTTTTTTTAACTTTGATGCTTGGTTTTAATTTTATGTTTCTTTGTTGTTAATTTGATTTTACTGTGATGAATTTTGCCATTTGGTAATTAAAACGACGTTTAATTGACATTATTTTGTACATTGAGAAAAGTTGATTGATTCGATGCTTTTATTTAATTAATTTACAAAGTTAGTTGGCGAGGAACTATATTTGAATTTATTTAGATGAAGAAAGGAGAAAATTTGTAATTAGTTTTAATAAAGAAGTATTCTTTAAGAATTTATTTTTTCTCTTTTTTATAATGTCAGCCTTGACATAATATTGTATATAGTGTATATGAAAAAACGACATTAATGTGATTGAAGCAACAGTGTCATTGTGATAAATTGAACCGACTATACCTTTTTAATACACCAAACGATGATGTCAATGCACTTTTATAAATTTTTCAATTTAAAAAAAAAAATTATTTCTTATCCCCTTTTTATTTTATTTTATTCTTTTCTTTCTATTGTATTCTATTCTACTTTATTCTCTTCTAATTTTTTTTTTCATTCTGTCCCTTATTTTTTTATTTTTTCTTATTCTATCCTATATTATTTTATTCTCTTCTATTTTATCTATTTTTTAAAAAATTAGATCAAATTAAAATTATTAATTAATGAAATTAATTATTAAATGAAATCAAATGGTTAATAAAAGGAAATATAATGAATTTTTACTTTATTCTATTCTTTTTTATTCTTCTTTATTTTTTTACTCTATTTGATTTTTTTTTACTCTATTCCTTTTTTATGAAATTTATTGCATTTAAAAAGTAGAATTTTACAAAGTATTAAAAAATTATTTATTTTTACATAGAGTGAAAAAAAGTAATTAATAATTGTCTTAAAGAATGAAAAATTGAAATATTAAATTTTAACGAAACACTGACCTTATTTTTAAAAATCCATAAGGTTAACAAATTTCAACATATTCTTTGCACTCCGGAAGGTCCCTGGATAACAAAAAGAAATCTTCGAGTAGGAAAACTAAATTGCTCTTTTCTTCTCATTCGAAAATTTATAGTATATTTTTTTATTGGAGAATTTATATTTGACAGAAATTTATACTGTTTATGGTATTTTATTTTACTTGTAGTTTTTTATTTTTTTATTTACAAATAAAAATAGTAGCAAATAACAAATAAACACTAATTTATTCGTTATTTAAAATTAGTCTACAATTTTTAATTTTTTATTATTTTTCTATTCTTACTATTTTTTTTATTTTAATATCTTCCTATTTTTCTTCATTAGCACTTTACTATTTTACCATTTTACTATTTTTCTATTTTACTACTTTAACATTTTTCTGTCTTACTATTTAATAACTATTTTATTATTTTACTATTTTATTATTTTACTATTTTAATATTTTACTATTTTATTATTTTACTATTTTAATATTTTACTATTTTAATATTTTACTATTTTATTATTTTACTATTTTACTATTTTACTATTTTATTATTTTACTATTTTATTATTTTACCATTTTATAATTTTACTAATTTATTATTTTAATACTTTACTATTTTACTCTTTTCAAATTTTATTCTTTTAAAACTTTACTATTTCTTTATTTTACTTTTCGTCAATTTTTGAAAATTAGAAAAAAAATTCAGTATTTTAAAGTTTTACTATTTTTTTTTATTAATTATACATTTTGAGTACTTAAAAATTTTTAAAAATTCAAAATTTTACAACTTTATTATTTTATTCTATAAATATTGAAAAAAAAGAAAAAATTTTACTATTTATTTATTTTACTTTTTCGGTGTTAAAAAATTGAAAAAAAAAATTTAATTTTTCCATTCCTATTTTACTAAAAAAAATATATTTTAACATTTTTTTTTATTTTAGATTCTTTATTACAAATTAATGAAAATAAAATAAAAAGAGATAAATTTTCGACATATTTTTAAAATTCTTAAAAAACATCAACTCCAGAAAATACAAAAAATTTGTTATTAAAAAAATATAAATGTTTAAAATTTTCGAAACACCTTGAAAATTGACTAAAAAAAGGGAGATTTTTTTTTCACACGCGTAAAAATTGAATAAAATTTCAAAAAAAAAAAAAAAAATTGTTAACTAATTTTCAAGAAAGAAAATTAAATTTTTTCTCAAAATGAGTCGAAAGAAAAAAAATCAAAAAATAAAATGAAAAAGAGAATAGAAAATAAGGGTAATTATTATTATAATTATTATTTTTATGAAATGTCAAGCTACCTTTTTTTGTAATTAATTAAAATAATTGTATACACTTTGTTTTTTAAAAAGTTTTGCCTTATTTTTGTGGTTTATTAAAAGATGGTTGAAGGAGGAATTTCTAAAAATTCTTTTTTCGAAACACTTGATATTGAGAAAATGGGGAAAAAGGGGCACGCAACAGTTACGAAGAGAAGACTGTGGAGTCCTGTGAACCGAGAATGGTTTATATAGTCCCACCCAAACCACCCACAAGCTACCAAAGAGACACCCTTTTGATTCGTTCCATGACAATCCTAAACAATCCCATTAATTCTGTATATTTATCAATTTTTCCGATAACGATTCTTTTTTTTTTTTTTTTTAGTTTTCGAGACAAAAAATTTAGTGTCGCGCTCATTTAAAGAAAAGGTATACTAAAAAAGTGTAATAATTATTTTAAGGTTATTTTTGTATTATTAATTAATTTATTATTAATTAAATTCATTAATTATTAATTAAAATTTTCTGTTTTTAATTACGTAAAACTGAAATGAATTTTTTTATTAATTATTTTATGCAACTCTGGCTACTTTATTTTATAACCAAGCAGTCAATAAAGTGCCTATTATTGTCCTAGGGCAATAATATTCACTTTATTTACCGCTCGCAGGTCTATAAAGTACTCATTATTGCCCTAGGGTTATTTCCCTCATTATTACCCTAGAGCAATAATGAGTACTTTATAGACCTGTGAGCGGTAAATAAAGCACTTATTATCACCCTAGGGGAATAATAGTCTCTTTATTTAACGCTCACATTTATTTTCCTGCATTTTTGCTTCATTTTCAATTAGGAATAAAATTCTTTATTGAAAATGAAGGGGATAAAAAATATAAAAATATTTAATAATAAAATTAGTAGTATCGATCACCCCGAGTCAGATTAAAATAATAAGAATATTTATTTAATTTACTATCGTTTAAATTGTATTTTATTTTTTAAATATATTTTAAGTTAAAATTTTTATTTTTTAAATAAATTTAAAGTTTAAATTTTTATTTTTATTATTATAATAAATAGGTACTAAATAATATGAGAAATCTACTTGTAGAGTTAATCAGCTTTGAATAGTCTGCGCCATCTGTAAAGTATCTTCATTATTTAGGTTTCCACCTCCCTTTGAGTGGTATTATAACCTCGGAATTTCATGCATTTCATAACCGTTGACGTCCATACTAAGGTGCGTAACTTTTTTTGTCTGTAGTTAATTAATTAATTAATTTATTTATTTATTTAACATTATTCATTGAGTGAAATTTGTTTATTTACTTAATTAAATGTTATAAATTGATTTAAGATGTAAAATTAATTATTAGCAATCCTCCAAAGTCAAGTTTTTAAAAATAAAAAAACCCAAAAAATTGTTAACTTTTCGACAGATCTGCTTTTCAGAACTGAAAAATGTTTATTTTAATAATTATGCAATTGCGTATAAATATAAACTTTGCGTATAAATTTACAAAAATCAAGGGTCAGTGAAATTATTACCAAAAACAAAGAGTCAATCAAGGAAGAAATATAATCAAATTAGTAAAGACATTTGTCACTGAAGAAAGAACCAAAAAGCAAAAAATTAAAGGTTATATTTGTAATTTTTTTACTAAAACTTATTTTTAAATTATTTATTTTTAAACTTTCTTAAACTTACTTTTAAAACAATTAAACAGAAGGTTTTAATTAAGGTAAAAATAATACAAACATAACCTTCAAAATGCTTTGCAGATTATTTTCATAAATAATAAAATTCTTCTTAGAAATTCAATTACTTTTTTAAAAAATTGATAAATTCTTGAATTCTTTCTCTAATCCTTCACAATTATTCAATTAGTTTTCCAAATAATAACATTTTTGACGAGAATCTAATTATTAAGAAAAAAAAAACTAAATAAAATTCTTCGCAAAAATTCAACTATTATTTTCATAAATAATAAAATTCTCAGAAATTCAATTATTTTTTTTTAAAAATTCATAAATTCTTTTTTCAATTCCTCACAATTATTCAATTATTTTCCCAAATAATAAAATTCTTCACGAGAATTCAATAATTTTAAAAGAATTAAATAAAATTCTTCTCAAGAATTCAATTATTTTCCCAAATAATAAAATTTTTCACGAGAATTCAATTAATTAAAAAAAATTAAATATTTTCCCTGGCAGTAATTCAATTACTTTCATAATTATCAAAACTATTCTCAGAGATTCAATTATTTTTAAAAAAGTTGACAAATTCAATTATTTTTACAAATAATAAAATTTTTTACGAAAATTCAATTATTTTCAAAAATAAATTTCTCGTCAAAATTGCAATTAATTTTATAAATAATAATTTTTTTTCGAAATTCAATTATTTAAAAAGAATTAAATAAAATTCTTCGCAAAAATTCAATTATTTTCATAAATAATATAATTCTCAGAAATTCCATTATTTTTTTAAAAAATTGATAAATTTTTTATAAGAATTAAATTTTGCGAAACATTCAATATTATTCAATATATCATTTACTTTTTTTATTGAAATAATTCAATTTCAGTTGAACTTTCTAATAAGAATTGATTTGAAAACGATTTTTAGTTGAAATTTTGGATAATTGAATATTAAAAGCGTAAAATGTTCAATTTTCTTTAAAAATAACTAAATTTTAAAACATTATTTAAATTGAAATCGTTGAAAATTTTATTTGCTGTAAAACTGTAATAACATTTAAATTATGCACTTTGAAAAATTATTAATTTATTTTCTTAATTCCTGTGAACAAGTTAAATTAAATTTTATTAAATAATTTTATTTGTTTACTTTTAAAAATTAAATTTTAATACAAATGTATTTTTTTAGGGTAAAAATTTAGAAAATAATTGAATTGTTCAAAAATTTAGAATTAAAGTTCTCAGCAGAAAATTAGAATAAAAATAAATATATTTTTTATTGAAATCAGGAAACTGAATAAAATTTTTGTGAATTGACAAAAACAATTTTTTTTGTTAAAATTAATTTTCGTTAGCTACTTTTTTACTACTTTTTTCAGTATTAAAGCTACTTTTTTGAAATTATTTATTGAGTATGAAGCCTAGAAAAATAGAACTAAATTTCTTATTATTATAATTTTTTTGGCTTAAATAGAAATAAGAAAGTTTTTTGCCGTTTATACATTGAATGTGTATTTTAATTAATTGACATCGAATTCTAAACAAAATTTTGATGAATTAGTTAATATTTGAGAAAATTGGGTCAAATCGAATGGATGAGTAAAAGTTGTATTTATAAAAAAATTTTAAACCAGCATTTGAGTTTCATTCGTAATTTACATAAATTTCTAATCACAGAAAGATTCTGTCAAACTTTTTATCTATGTGTATTTCTCTTAATTTTTTTTTTTAATTTTTATTCTATTTTTTTATTTATTCTATCGTTTTTTTTCTAAAGTTAAATATTTTTTTTCAAATATTTTTCTAAACTATACAATTTCTTTTGTATATTTTTTTTTATTTTTTAATTATTTTGCGTGACAATATTATTGTTTTCCCATAACAAATTTCTATTTTTCAATTATTTATCTAATTTTACAAAAAAAAAAACTTTCTTTACATTGTAATGCTGCACTCGACCCACTGTACTTTAATTTTTCAAACAACAAGAAACTAAAGAGTCTTTGATAAATTAGAAGTTACTTCTGACTAGACAGTTTTGTGTTTTCACAACTGACTTTAGCAATTAACTACTTCTTAACTGCAGTTCATCTTGACATTTGACTCTTGTAAACTTAATTTTTCCCTATTTCGAGAAATTTCCAAGACATTTATGTTTGAATTTTTCCAAAACGTCTATTTTTACCTTTATTTAAGGAAAATTGAAGAAAAAAAATTTTTTAATTATATTATCAAACTTTAATGATTTTAGAAAAATTGGAAAATTAAAAAATAGAAAATTTTACAAACTGTATATAATTAACATTACTGATTAAGTCATTCGAAGGAGGGTAGCTAATTATAATAACGGAAAATGATAAAAAACTGATTCCCACGAGGACGGCATTTATGAGATGAAACAAAGGCGTTTTCTGATATTATAAAAACTATCAACATTATTTAATACTCTAATTAATTTATCCCGTAACTTAAGTTAATAGGCTTTTTAGTAAATAATTCCACTGAAGACAATAACAAACTTTATTTTTAGAAAAAACAATTTTCACCATAAATTTACGTCTATTTATTTATTATTTTCTTTTTATAAAATAATTCACTGTTTTAGAAAATAAAGTAAACATTTTTACAAAAATTATTTTTGAAAAAAAAATCTAAAAAGAAGTATTTTTTAAATGAAAAACTAATTAAAACTAATTTTTGTAAATTCACAATTTTAGAAAATAAACATTTCTACAAAAAAGTATTTTAAAAAAAAAATCAAAAAGAATTTTAAATTAAAAAATTAATTTAAAAAAAAAATGTTTTTTAATAATAAATTTGATTTTTATTTTGATTTTAAAATGATTCAATGAAAAAGTGTAAAATAGAATGAAAACTGAGAGAAAAAAATTTTAATAAGTTTACTCACTTTTTTTTTTTTTATTTGAATTCCCTTTCTAGATTAGAGATCGCAAAAGAATTTTCAATAAATTAACAATATATATTTCCACGCTTATTTATCTTTTAAAGAAATATAATAAAGAAGAAAAATAAAAGAGAATAGGAAAAAGATAATAAATCTCAATGTAACCGTGAGAATTATGCATCAGCACGTGTCTTTTCGGTTTAAAAAAAAAAATACATATACACATATCTTTTTGATCATTAACACAATGCTAACGTGTACAAAATAAATTTTATTCCAAAAACTGTTTAAAAAAATAATATTCCGAATTTTTATAATACACATCAGCAAATAAACACAAAAGTTAAATATAAACAAATAACTATAAATTCATAACAAAATTTAGGTTAAATCATCCCCTAAAATCAATTATTTTTCACAAAGAAGAATATATTTTTTCTTTTTAATATAAATAAAAAAAAATATAAATATAAATAAATTTTTTTTTACATTTTTTTTGTTTTATTTTTTTAAATATATAGATAAAAGTGAAAAATGAAATTTATAAAAGAAAAGCTTCTTTCAGAAAAGAAAATTGAATTTTTACAATATGTAATTAAAAGTTATAGAAATGAAATTTTAAAATATTAAATTTAAATGTGAAAAACATTAATGGTAATATAATTTATTTAAAAAATAATATGTCTTTTATCGAATAAGAAGGAAGAAAATCTTGTTTTCTCCCCCATTAGTTGTAGAGAGTAATCATCCCTTACAAACTTAATAATGGACATGATATTTTGTCCTTGTCATTACATTTCCTTTTTTCTAAAAATATAACAAAAAGTTCCAATTAGGAGATTTTTGTGTAGACAAAAAAAATTATTTAATTTTTAATGTTTTCATATTTTTTGTGTCTTTTGATAAAAAAAATGTAATTTCGAATAAACGAGAAATTATAAATTCGATTAAAGATGTTTTTAAATTTAAATAAATATCAAATTCAAAAATTGCAAAATTATTTAAGTACTTTATTTAAAAATTAATTTAATAATTAATTTTATAAAGAAATTTCATTTATTTCACCAAATTTTTTTGGTCTGCACAAAAATCTCCTAATTAGAACTTTGATATTTTAATAAAAAACAGACTATAACTACAAAATTTATTAATTATAAATAATTTCTTTTTATCAATGAACTAGTTTCAATAATTTAGAGATTAGAATTACTATTTTGAGGTTATTTTTTTAATTATTATGATTATTTGCGAAATTCAGGGAAACTCCGTTTTTACTCACAATGTGTGATAATAATCAAACATTAGATTTTCTAATCAGGATTAAGATAATAATTGAAATGGTTTTTTAAATTTTAACCTTATTACACAATGGCTCACTTATCTAATCTTTAACAAATATTAGGATCACCTATATTCACAACAATATGTTACGTCGGTAATCCTAAATATGTTACAAATTATCAGCAAGTGTATCGAAAAATTAAAAAACAGATCAATTATTAATAATTATTAATAAAAAATAGCTCAGAAATTCACCTTAAAAAGCCTTTTTTTACTTATGGAGAACTTTACTCCACTTTGCAGAATAAAAGTGTCGTTTATTTTTGTTCGTGACCGATTGGACCACTAGCGCCGCCTGAAAGGAAAAGCAATGTAACTCATTATTACAATCGTTATAATTGGATGTCTTTCAAAATATTGTTTTGTAAATAATTATTGTAAATAATTAATTCAATTATTTACAAATTATTTTTAAAAATAATAATATTTTTTACAGGGATTCAATTATTTTCAAAAATAATAACATTTTTTACAGGGATTCAATTATTTTCAATAAAATTTTAAAGTGATTCCTCAAAAAATATATATAATTATTCTGAAAAATTTGATTAAAATTTATTGAAGAAATTTAATTATTTTAAAAACCGTTCCCTATATTTCCAATATATATTTAATTAAATTTCATGAAAGCATTAAATTATTTTTAAAAATTTTAATGAAATTATTTGTAACAATTCAATTTCTTTCAAAATCAAGAGAATTCAATTATTTAAAAATTCGTTGGTAAAATTCTTTATGAAAATTTAATTAATTAAGAATTATGTAGAGTTAATTTTTTTCAAAAAGTTTATAATGGAAGTTTTTTTTAATTATTTGAAGTTTTTAATTTCTATAATATAATTGAAGAATGTCAGAATAGTCGAAATTTTATAAAATTAAATTGTAAACAAATAAATTTGAAAATTGTCAAAGAATTTTTTTTTTAAATTATTAAAAAAAAATTGACTTAAAGAAAAATTTTAGTTAAAAATTCTAGAAATAAATAATAACCGAAATAATGAAAATAATTTTTGAAGAAGTTACAGTAACAAAGTAGCAATAATAATAATAATAATATTCTTATATGTTATTGGATTTAAAATTTTTATATTTTATAAGTTATTTTTTTAAAAAATAATTTTTTATTTTTTAAATTTAAAAAAAAGAAAATTGATTTTTCCCCTGTAGTATGATCTAATCTTTATACACAGTTGTATTTATAGAATATTTTTCTAAAAAAAAATTTTTCAACGAATTTTCATAATATTTTAACAAAAAATAATTGTATTAATCAAACATATATTGTTTAAACATTTGTTAAAATACTTTTTTTTTGTATAAATAAAAAAAATTCATTTTTTTCCAACCATCGATAAATCGAAATTTTAAGGGCATGGTAACGAACATTTTTATCCACAGAACATCAACAGATGGGGTTTTTTCTTTTTCCATCAATAATTTCAATCATTTCCTTTAAAATCTAAAATATAACATTTTCATATTTACCAAATGTTAAATAACCAGAAAGAAAAGCAAATAAATTATAAAACTACATCTTTTCAGGTAGAATCAGGGCAAATTTTAGATTGATTTCTAACTGCTGGGGGAATTACAACAGAGAACAAGAACTATAAATTTGGCAACACTGTATCCTGACTCGGAGTGTCGGACATCACCACATTAGTTAATGGATTCTGGGTAAAAGAGCGTGCGTCGTCGTTTTTATATTAAAAAAATATATTTTTTACAATTACTTGTAAAAAAAGGAAGAAGTGTGAACTCAAAATAATTGCCTTAAATTGCAGTGTTAATAAATATTAATCGTTTGTGCTAAAATACTTGAATTTAAATAGTATTGATGTTTTAGTTAACGGAAAAAAAATCCAGTGAATATTATCTATATATACTGTATAAGAAAACAGTTGAAGTATTATATATATATTTTGGGTGTTTAACCATATTTTTCGGCAGGTGTGTCCTTTCGAGAAGAAGAAAGGGAAAAATTATTTTAAAAAAAAGTATATCATCCACAGGTCAAAGATGATTGAACTAACAGTGAAGACATTAGATTCCCAGGATCATTCATTTTCATTAGATGACGACGTAAGTTTTTATTATATGTATATAAAGTGACTCATTACGATCTATTTTTTTTTGCAACATTTCATATTATTTTATATGTTGGAACATAAAATCACAGGGTGGGGAAACTATCCGAATAATAGACGTTTAATTGTTTGAGTATCTACCAGATTGTAATGGCGGACGTTTTTCTCTATTCGCAAATTCCGTTCTTGAAAATGGTGCAAATTAGAATTTGAAAAATTGTGTTAGTTTTGGATTGAAGAAAATTGATTTCTTTTTGTATTTGGGTTTTGAAAAAATTTAAGGACTTATAAATAAAATTTGTCCTCCATTTGTGTCTATATTTTTCACAAGAAGTTCGTTTATTTAAAAAAAAACAAAATAGGAATGGAGGCTTAATTAATTTTTCTTTGATAATAGATAACAGTTCGAGGATTTAAGGAATATATTGCTGAGTCAGTTGCAGTGCCGGCAGATTCACAGAGGTTGATTTATTGTGGAAGAGTTCTGCAAGATGACAAGAAACTCAATGATTACAGTCCGTTATCCTCTTCTTGAAATCCACTTCCTTTTTACTAGGTTTTTCGGAAAAAATTTGAAATTCCGGGTTTTTTTTCCAGATGTCAACGGAAAAGTCATACATTTGGTTCAACGTGCACCACCTCAACCCGGACAGAGAGGAAATGAGGTGGAACAGAGACAAAATACCACTCAGAATACAAATCACTTTCACAGAGCTCATTATCGAGTGATAAGGGACATTAATTTGCATAATGCTCACGATGGACCCAATGCTCAAGTGCATGGCAATACGATGTACCTCGGTGCAATGACACTACCAACAGAAGTTGTCGAAGGACATGGTGAATATTTCTCTTAAAAATTAAAAAGAATCCGCAAAGAATAATTCACCCAAATAAGGGTCAAAAGAGACTCTTATTGACCCTGAAATTTATTCTTTTGTTCAAAATTATTAATAGGTTTCAAACTATTTTCCCAGGTCTTCCCCTACCACAATTGAGCAACACTTTATCGAACAGTCGAATGGTTATGGCCGAAAATATGCTAACGAACGCGAATCGTATTTTGGATCGACTCAATAATCCAGTGGCCCCAACACCAGAAGCTTCGAATGAAAGACAAAGTACATCGTCAACGGAGAATTCTGACGTTAATATGGATACATCTTCTGAGTAAGATGACAAAATTGATGTGTTTAAATTTATTTTATTAATAATTATATTATAATTTTTATGAATTATACTAGAATTTTTATGAATTATACTAATCGTCACTTTGTTTTTAAAAGTTCAAGTCGATCGGTACCAACCTCATCAGGGAATCGAGAAGGTCTTGCTCTTATCGATTACATTACAAATATGCTCGACACAATGATTAAGGATATGCTCAGAATGATCGGATGTCGTTTAGTCGAGAGCGAACAAGGTAAAAACGAATTTAGACAATTTTTGACAAGACAATCTTTAAACTGGAACTTTTTCTAGTTGAGGATTTCTCTGAGGATACTGAAGGAGCTTCTAACAGAAATAACACACCATCAGACACGGCATCACAACCAGAAGATCCATTGAGTTTGATTTTTTCGAACAGTACACCATCGAGTCTTTCCGATCGACTTAGAGCGCCTCCTACGTAAGTAAAAAGAGGATTTTTCTATCAAAAATTCCCAAGTAAAATTGCATTACAGTTTTAATTTATCTTTTTGTAGAGAACCACGTCCTCCGCAAATGGCAGATCTACTGCAAATGTTAATGAACACCCAAGATCGTCTCAGACCTTTCTTAGAACGTTATCGCGTTCTTATGGCTACAGATCCTGTTCTTCGTGCCACTGTGAGTTGAAAAGAATTAAAAAATGTGTAAAAAAAATTCTTTTTGCATAACTGTTTTTTTTTATTTCAGGGTACCGGTGCTGACAGTGTTACCGAAAATCAGATTGTTGTCAATGAAGTTAGCAGAATTTTGCACTATATCGCGCATGCAAATCACGCATTAAGTGATATAATTGTTGACATGGGACAAGCTCCACCGAGAAATTTGAGTTGTCGTCCAATTGTTATTCAACAGTCCGCTATTGTACAAGCTGGAATTCCAATTCAAGTGGAGGCGCATATAAGTGTCAATGAACACAATGCTCGTGCTAATAGGACCGAGACGAATGGCAGTACGCAAACACAGGTTGAATCATCAGATAATACAGAATCAAGAGAGAATTCCTCTCAGGAACAACGACCACAACAACAGCAGCAGCAAAATTCTTCAAGCAGTAGTCATCAGCGTTTTGATCATCAATCAAATTCTGATCAACCACCGCGTACAGAACAACAACAACAGCAACAAAGAAATCAAACACCACTTGGCAGTCTATTCAGTACGTTCTTTATTTTAAAAAAATCTTAACCGCTTTTTTTTCTTACTAAATTCTAAACTTTACTAAATTTACAGGCAGTGTTTTCAATTTGCCAAGTAATGTGGAAGTTTTAATGGAGGTCAGTCCTGATAGTTCTATGGATCTTAATTCAACAGACGAACAGGGGTCGAATAGTACTCCGAATAATAATGAGAATAGAGGTAGAATCTTAGCGTTTGGAATAATTTTTAAGAAACTAAAGACTATTTCGAAAGCTTCATCTAATTAAAATATCTATTTTCAGGGAATCCTATGGGAAGGGGAGCAAGTTGGATGTTTCCCCCAGGGGCACCACCAACAGATCTCATTCGTAACCTAATGCACGCCGTAGCTGGTCATATTGTTCAAGATCCCTCTGGCATGTCAGCCAATCAATCTATGAATCCAATAAATATAACCCATAGTCAACACACTATTGGCGTTACAATTGACAGCAATGGTCAAAATTCTGGCCAAAGTACTCAAGCAAGGTAAAATTAATTTTACCTTTTACACTCGTTACGAATCACATTCGTTAATATGAATCACATTCGTTATTACGAATCACATTCGTTACTACGAATCACATTCGTCAATACGCATCACATTCATTATTACGAATCACATTCGTTATTTTAATTACGATTTATTTTCATTTAAAAACAATTTTTTCGAAGAATTCTCCAACTCCACCTGAAACAAAAAAAAGAAGAAAATATTAGAAACATATTTTAACTCTTAACTTCTGCTTCCTTTTTTTCAGGAATAATGTGGGTACACATCCAACGACATCGACACAAACACGCAGCACATCTCGTCCTCACGTCTTTCATTCCCATGGTCTTGGTCTTGGTCCCGTGTCCGATCCATTCTTACCTTGTAATTCACATCATCTCCGTCGATGGTCCACCACTGGCGTCAATCTAAATCAAAATCAACAAAATGCAAAACATGTTAATGGAGATAAATACCTGCAGATACTTCGTCGTAATCTACCCAGCTCCTTCTTCACATCAAATCGTAATATTTCCTTCAAAATTATCCCTTTTTTTAATTATTATCTTTTAATAATCCCTTTTTTAAAATTTAATTATTTATAATTAAATTCCAGGCGATGCTTTTGCTTATACCTTGAGGAATATGGTACAAATTTTGTCCAATGGAAAAGTTGAAGTTAGATTTTCAAATGAAATTCCGTAAGTTTTTCAAATTTAGTTTAGATTAAAATTTCGAATTTGAAAAATTAAATAACTTTATTTTTATTTATAGAACTTCGGTTACGTCCGGCATAACACTTGCAAGTTTGATGGAAATTCCCTCAACAGTTGTAGCGCAAAATAATCTTATTTTCGATCTTACTTTACATATGGTAGGTATTATTAATCATTCCTTTAACCCCTTAAGTGCAATGGCAAAGATTTGACAAGGCACTTAAGGGGTTAACCTTTTAAATATGTTAAAAGAATGTTTAGTAATCTTGACAAAATTTTCTCTTCTCATTAAAGGCACGAAATGTTTTAATGGAAGATGTATTCTGCCTGCCATGGGGATTTTATAACATTTTCCACAGTCTTCGAAAACCAATGCGCGAATTTATAAGAGAAAAAACAAAGTCAACTGGTTGTGTTGATGATTTTGTCGATCTTGTTTGTGATTCATTGATACCACCATTAAGCACTATTCTTCTTGACAAAAAAGATGGAAACACTGGACATGATACTTTCGATATTGTTCTTTCTGTTGAAAATGTTTTACGCCGTCACTTGCCACGGGTAATTCAACTATTCTGCAATGAAGGTTCGTTGAAGTTTAAATAAAATTTTACTAATAAACTGTTTTGTATTTTAAATTATAATTTTTTTTGTATATTACCCTTATTTTAGAAGTCAACAATGCATCATTTCAAATGAGAGCAAAAACCATTTTCACCGATTTGATAACACAATTCTGCTGTGTTTTGCTCTATTTTTATAATGGAGATCAATTGAAACTCATGAATACAGTACGAAGATTATTGGTGAGAACTTTGACTTTAATTTATTAATTCACTCTTCAATAACGATTAATGAATGAATTCATTAATTAACTAAAACTGACTTTATCATCATGCTAAAGAAAATTTATTTTTTTTTACTGAACAGGCCTATTTAGCGACAGACATGTTCCCATCAATTTCTAAATGGGTGATAACGAAATTGGCGAATCAATTGAAACGCAGCATTCTTGATAGATCAACGGCAAGACTTCCATATGACAAGATTGTTCCTCTACTTGTTAAAAAGAAACCCGTTGAAGCCTTAGTATCAGAAGACGCCAATTTTCCAGGACACGAAATTCTACCAGCGGTAAGAATTATTTTAGTCGAGTGAACCCATATCAGTAAAAGAGTATCGAAACTGAAAGAGTGTTTAGCGTACATGAATGTTTGGCTAGAATTCTACTTTATCAGTCTCGCATAGAATAAAAATGAAAATCAATTTCAATTTTAGGATTGGGTGCCAACAATTGCGCTAGATGGTGCAAGTCAACGTCGTTCAGCACCGGCCGGAGGAATTACAAACTTCAGCGACGCCTACTTGGGATGTTTACCATGTAAACGACGGAAGATAATACAACAAGAGAAATGGCAAATTGTGTCAAATCCAACTTCAAATCATTCAACGGTATCGGCTTCCATTGAGAGAATGGTGAGAGAAAGTATTAGTCGCGTTGGTGTTGCAGAAGTTGAAGGAGCTGCCGCTGCAGTAGGAAATGATAGCGCGGTAAAAACAGCTTTTGGTCAAGCAATCCAAGATCACGGACACAGTAGAGATCATGGTTCTGATTTTCCAAATTCCGAACGTTTCCCAAATGCGACAAAATTCTTTTGTAAAAAACCCCGAAGATAATTATACATTGCGCATATTTTTCACAATAGGGAAAATAAAAAAAAAATCCTAATACTTGCAATCACAAGAATTTAATTTTGACTAATTTTTTGAATTTTCGTTCTCATGGTATTTTTTTTCGTTTTATCTCTTTATTCCATTATTTCTATTTCAAGAGAGAGAAAGAGAAGGATTCCAAGAGTATTTCATAATGTGTTACCATAAGTCTTTTTGTTTAAAAAAAAAAAATTTAAACTCTTGTTGAATTGAAATTGAAGAGAATTCTGACAAGAAAAGAGTGTTGTATATGTCATTTTTAAGCCTTGTCGGTTATGGGTTTATAATAGCGATAATTGTATAACTTTATAGTGTGTAAATGTTTAAACCGTTATCAAGTGCTTAGAAATTTATATAACCATCGGCAATTTCTAATAATTTATATAATTATATCTAAAGTAGCGTATATTTTATCGAGTTCCACTTTGTAGTTTGTAATTTTAAATTATCATTCGAAGCGATTGATGAATAATAATAATTGTAGCCTAATTGCTAAAAATATCGTTTGATAATATTTCTCAACAATAGAAATTTTTCGACACCTATTGATTATAAATATATGTAAATTCATGAAACACTTGTTGTCTCATTTCATTCTGAACCTATTTTAAAATATATGCTTTATTTTTATAAACAGAAATATTCTTTAGCAACTTAATTTTGAAAAGTTGGGGTAACTAACCTTGCCGTGTAATGTTGCGGAGGTTGGGACATTATATTATGCTTTCAATAACATTATCGTGTAACATTTGCAAACATTGCGAGACAACATTGCCGCAATGTTGCTACAAGGTTACGTGCTATCTGAAAACACTATTTTGGGAAAATTTTATCACTCCCATGGACCTTTTAGGAAAATTAATTCCAGTGACGTTTTACGATTTATCTTTATTAAAAACCTTTTTTTGCAACTTACCTTTAGTCTTATTTTGGAAGACTCTTCTGCTGCTCCTGAAAATTTTGTCACATGGACCTTTTAGGAAAATTAATTCCAATGACGTTTTACGATTTGTCTTTATTAAAAACCAACTTTTGCAACTTACCTCAAGTTTTATTTTTGAAGACTCTTCTGCAGCTCCTGAAAAAAAGAACATTATAGTTATTGTATTTTTTTATCCTTCTTACTAGAGTTTAGGGTCCATAATTACCTGCCCTATTTCTGATTTCCATCGAACATGAAACTATGATTTGATTTCCAATAATATCCACTGTCGTTGATCGTACGCCTTCACCTGAAACAGAAAAAAAGATTAGTAACATAATTTTAATTTATTTCCAACTAGAAGTCAGTGATATGGTACAAATTTTACTCCTTATGCAGTAAATGACATTTGGAAACGACAATATCGAATGGTCTTTAATAGCAGTGCTTAGAGACTTCATTGTTTCCACAACAGATGGCACCACTGAACAGAATTATTCAAGATATTGACGATTCCCGTTTTCCTCTCTATTTTCGTTTACCCAGCTGAATTTGAGATATCTTTGCCTTTGCATCAGAAAATTTATTATCTGAAAGTGAAAAAAACGATAAATTATTAAATAACTATTAAAATATTGTAAAAATTTGTATTAAAATGTTACATAGAAAGCAAATAAAAATGCTAAAAGCAGACTAAAAGTTTATATACGAACATACACAGGGTTGTGAAGTAAAAAAAGTAAAAAAAAAAGTTCTGAAAAAGATGCGGTTGTTTCGTAATTGGTTGAACCAGCGTGGTGGCTATGTGCGCTCGTTGGTCGGATTTGATGTCCGTGCCATGGCAACATTCGTTTCGTGAAGTCATTTTTTTAAAACTCTTTTTACATTACTCGACCACCGACCCCCTAACTCTATTCTGCAATCTACAATTTCTAGCGTTCCATTGCACCCCAAGAGCCAATGGCGTAGTAACTAAAAAATTTTTCTTAACGCTTTTATAAAACATTAAATATCTTCACTAGCACACACACACACATATAATGAAAATAAATGTTGGCCTGTGAATTAAAAAAAAAAATATTCGCCCACATTCGTAAAATATGTAGATTTTAATCTGCTCATATACTCAGAATTAGAGACTATACGCGATTCGAAATTCTTCACCTGGCTCAGGTATATCTTCTCAGAGTAAAAAAAAAAGTTCTCATTAAAACGCAAATTCCACACAAATTAACACTATTTCTTCATTCTATTATATTCATAAAATCTTGCAATGCGTTTTATGTGCGTTGTAGGAAGGCGCGCACAATTTTTATGACTTGAAATACACAAGTTTTCAAAACCAGGCGCTAATCGCTACGGCCCTGATGCCGAAGTATATTCGTATATAATAAAGGTCGAGTTACAGTCCACGTGGAGTGAATGTGCAAACGTCTGTTGAGTGAAAGTGAAGCTGATTGGCTCTTGGCATTAAGCTCTCAATGACTATTGGTCTTTTTCAAAATTGTAACGCCTCTCTTCTTCCATTGGGGCGTGACGGAAATTTTTCAGCAAACAGGTTGGTCGTTGGATAAAATTCTCTCATATCATAGGTGCGGCGAAATAACATAAAGGCACTCCACGTGGAGTTGAAAACTGAGGTTAAGATGCCTTGGCAATCAAGTAGAACCTCCGTGCAAGTAGGGGCGGTTATGGGTGGTTACGGCTGTGGATTGGGTGAAGGCGAGGGAGACGCGAGGGTTATTCGATAGAAACGGAAGGTGGAGGGAAGGCGGCCATATTTAGGGAAGGAAATCGGTGAAGAACATTCGCATTTCACCGCTGCGCGCGGTTTCCTTCGAAAAGGAGCTGTGTAGGTATTCAGAGCTGTCATCGAAAATTTCCCCCACCACCTTTCAACCTCTCTACCATTTCCTTACTCAAGGGCGCAGCATTCGTCTTTTTCTTACGTGCCTACGGCATTGCTTCTCTACAAATTATTATTATCACCTCTTTTTTTTATACCATTCACATCTGCTGAATATATTTACCATCGCAGTGTTATTACGTACCATAATTTAAATATCCATTTACCATATATACCTCATAATCATTGTAAACCTTGTAAACTTGCTTCTCGCTAGTTCTAAAAATTATTTAGTTTGAGGTTATGTTTACAATTCGCAAACACTAATAATATAGATAATTTAAACTTCTGGATAGAAGATACTAGAGCATACATTATTTTAAAAAGATACTATACTTATCTATGAAAATATAGATAAAATAATTAAGTCAACTTGAACGATTAAATAAAATTACTTTCTAACCTCTAAAGCACATCAGGCGTTAAGATTTGGTAAACAATTTTTATCTGTTTTTCCAAATGTCTGCAATAAATATATGTTTTCTAGATGTAATATCACTAAGACTTACTTTTTATTAATATTTTATTAATAATTACACTGTTATTGCAAATTATAACTACTGAAGAAATGTAGTAGACAAAGTAGTATAAAGGTGATTTACACATTACATGTTCTTAGAATTCTATTGTAGACTTACCTTAACGTAAATCGCAGAAAGCATTGTTAATTACCCAACCCTGCTGACTGACGTTAAAAAACGTTTGTATACTCTACAAATGTCTCACTTTTGTTTACCGATTTCTTCTTGTTATTTACTATTTATTAAATTATTATTTATGCATAGAATAATTGAAATTTCCAATTTATATTTTGAGAAAATAGTATATACTTTTTATTTTATACAAAAATAAAAAAAAATACAGAAATGACTTTGTAAATATGCATACAATTTTATGAATTATGTGAATGCAAGCTATTGCTGGCTTTAGATTCAAAAGACCACCACACATACAACACGAAGCTTTTCAGAAGGTTTTTTTTTTTATTTTTTTTTCTATATATGTAACCAACCAGCGCGCGAAGCATTCCTTGAAACTTGAGAGCTTTTTCTGCATCACGCCTCTATGCGGATAATGTCATTTCTTCTTGCTTCCTTCCCTTCAAGTACATTCTTTTTTTTTCTCCAACCAGACTCTATTAAGAACTTCCTGCACAAAAACCTAGTGCAACTTTTCCAGTTCGCATATAGGTTAGGGTGAGTAAAAACTTGTCGCAACGTGTGCGTTTTCAGTAATGAGGAGAAAGACTAGTTATGAAAAAGTTTGTTATAACCAAGCAATAAAAGAGTTTTTTTTATGTATAATATAGTCTATCTCTTATTTTCCAGACTATTTGAATTTTTTAAAGTCATAATTTTTTTGCAATTATTCTTTTTGTTTATTATCTCTATCGCGATATGCATCAATTTTTGTCGTCTAGAAACATCTAGAAATTTGTTGATACAACCTTTATTATATCAACTATGGTCACCATGGCTCAGATGTTAGGTTGGCTAACCTGATTTTTCTAATACCATGTTCAGTTAACCTCTGCAATGTGGCGAAAAGGGCAAAAATGACGTTTTACATATTTTGTATTTCGAATTCAATAAACTATTTTACGAAGTATATTAATTATTAAAACCAAAAGTGGAGTTGCTTTTAGTACTAAAAAAATATCAATAAATAATTTTCGTAGCATTCAAGTAAAATTGTCCCGACACATTTCGCAGACAAGAAGGGTGAGTATAGATAACGGTTATTTAATCCAAACTGTCAATTAATGAAATAAGGTAAAGAAAAATTTACCTAATTTTCAATCTGCTGCAATCCAGCGTTGCAGACACTATTATAATAAGGAGTCGATTCAGAAACCCAATCGGAAAATTGGTTAAAATTGGTAAAGTTATTAATATAACCTCAAAATTTTTTTCCTGCTTTTCTAAAATAATTCATTACATTAATCGACAACTGTTTTTAGATAAAGTGAAAATAATAGTTTACATAACCTCAAATTATCAATAAATAAAAAATAAAAATCGAATAGAAAATATTAAAAAAGAATAAATTATAGAGTGAAAATAATGAGTTACCTAACCCCAAAATATCAATTGATGAAATAGTTTACTATTTCATTAATTGATATTTTGGGGTTATGTAACTCATTATTTTTTCATTATTTTTCAATTGAATAGAAAGTATTAAAATAAAAATAAAATTAAAAAAGAATAAAAAATGGTACATTTAATATAGTGTATATATATTGTACGTGCAAAATAATAAAATAAGTAATAAAATATAAGTTTAAATCTATTGATATACATATATATTTAGATGTTTAACAAACTTTACAATTTTGTGAGAAGAAATTTTATATCCAGTGCATTATCATCATCAATTCACTTTTACGTGTAAATAGTGATCGTTAGGAATAAAACGTTGGTTAACGCTTACTTATTGTGAATTTTTGAATTGATGATTTAGCAGGGTGTGGAACTTGTGGGCGGAACATAAATTCTGTTGCTATTCAGTATCTCAACATTATACAGTAATTGACAGAACAAAGCAGATTTATTTCTAAAGCCTCCTTCAGCTTCAACTTGCACAATTGTTACCTACATACTCCTAATATTTATCTAAAGTTTCTACAATAAAAATAAATGATAGCATAATGTATAATCTATATAAGAAATTGTATTTAAAAAGAAATAGTATTTTAAAAACAGTCACTATATTAATATATTAATAAAAGGTTAACTTAAAATTATAATTTTAGTCGAATTTACAAATCTTTTATTAAATATGAATGAATAATATATCTAAAAAAAAATAATTTATTAAATCTAATTATATATGTAAATTCACAAGACAAATCATTAGTGAGTGTATAAGAAATGACGATTAACGAATAACTTTCTAAGGACAATATTGACTCGCATAATGTGTTTGCCAGCACGTAGAATCCCCCCAGAATGTTATAGGTGTTTCGCAATGTAGACATTTTTAGTCAGCTTATGTTAAGATAAGTAATTGAGTACATTAATTACAAGAGCTTGTAAGATACGAAGAAATATTTGAGCCACTTTTTTTATCAATTTACGTTTCCGCGTAAATTGTTAATAATGTCGATTTAAAGTTAACGCTTTTGTAGACACTTGATGATCGATTGAATAGAATAATAGTATACTAAAAAATTTGTAAGAGATAGTAAGTACAGTTCCACATCTGTATTGAGTGTTCTACTTTGCTGTCATTATTCAAAGCTTTTATCAATTCTAACACAGGTAAAATGATGACGCACATTCTCAAGAGCATGTTTATATATTGAACTCTAAAAGGAAACTAATTTGCGACAAGAAGGAAACACTTGAGAGAAATCAAATAAAAATTCATTCCATTGAATTTCTAGGTTATGCATTTATAAGTACGAGGAGAAAAATATTTGAGTTTGATTATGTTACTTGTGCATATACAAGCTTAGAGTGAACGAAACCTCTAAATGTTATTTACCTTCTTTTAAGGTAATGTAAGTAGCTCACACTTTACTGAATAAAGTGATAACAGTTTTAGTTTTACATTTCTGTTTCAGGTTGGTCACCCCACATAGAGTACAAGAAGATAGCTGGGACAAATTTCAATCAGTTAACGCAGATATCACCATTTGATATGAAGAACATTCCTGAATAGACGAAACAACATTGTGGATAAGATTGCAGATTGACGAGAAACAATGTGTTGTAAAATAAATACAACGTATGCCATAAACATTAAGAGCAAGTAATAATATACTCATTTAGAAAGATATTAAAAAAAAGTATTTGTAATTAACACAATCGAATTTTATACAATTAGTAATGTTGTCTAGATGGACTAAGAGGTCTCTAGTCATCATTTCTAATTTAGTAAGTGAAAAACCTTCAAAGGATTAACATTCATTTACGATCTGCACAAAAAAAAGGATTTGTAATTTACACAATCGAATTTTATCACAACTCTTAATCGATGTTTACATATAAATTAAAGGGTTTCGATTACTTTAGTAACACTGCCTTTTGTAGACTCAAAAGTTAAGAGGAATGATTTCTAATTTAGTCAATAAGAAACTATCAGAACTATGCACGAAAAAAGGTATTTGTAATTTATACAATCGAATTTCACCCCAAATTTTAGAAAACGACTAATCACAAATTAAGGGATTCAGAATAAACAAAGTTTGGGGAAATGTTCAAATTTTTCCTCCAAATTAATTCTTTAAAGATGAAAAACGATATAGACGATATTTAGCATGCGCCTTATGAATGGAGTGTCATTTTGTTAAAAGCAGCTTTTTCTTTTTTGAAATGGATGTTCTTTGCTGGCGGTGAATATAACGCTAACAATAAGATTAAGTGTCACTGAGCTGGGGTGTAGGGAAAGGCAAAGTGATAATAACTGCTTGGGATGCAGTGGGCGGAAAGTCGTAAAACATATAGAGGGTTGCCATGGTGAAAAGAGGAAGAGAAGTTTTGTGGCTTCCATATAATTTCGAGTAAGAATACGTGGCGCACTTGACTGAGAGAAAATAGATGCGGTGAATAAAGGCAATGCTGAAAATTAAAGACAGAAGTAGGAAGCCGCATGTATGCGAAAAGGGGGAAAATGCTTTCGATAAAGAAGTGATATAGATGACAAGTGAGTTTATACTGCGCGGATATATACTCATTGATGAACAGTATATTTAATTCTTTATAGGGATTTAAAATTGATTAAGGTTTCACTAACCTCACCTCACTGTCTTATATTAATACTTTCAAAAGATTCATTTTGTTTGTAATCAGTTGGAAGCTTTTGAGAAATCTGCTCTTTGTATGATAACTACGCACTTATTATATTGTTTCTGGTGAAAATGAAGCCTATTTAAATGGTTAGTTTAAGCATTACTTTTGGATAATAGGGAATTTCGTCGGATTATGTGTGTGTCGAGAAAGACTTTCTTTGATGAACTCAAGTTTCAAATTGTGTAGCGATGTTTGCATTACCCATTGTTCTAACAAACAGTCGACATCTTTATCGGGGGATATATTGTAGTATACAAGTTGTCAAAAGGTAAGACAGTTTAATTTTAAAGGATTATAACTCAAGTTTCGACTAAACGCAGCATTGAGTTAAACTTTGACGTAATTTCAATTTATAATAATATTTGTAATTTGTATAAATGAAATTTATTTTAATTCTTTTATAGGATTATTCAATTGGCAATTTAGACGTAGTAAGGAATTAGTCGGATAGGTAACACTTATTCTCAAAGATTAAGTGTGATATAAATAATATTATCTGGCAATTTACACAATCGAATTTAAATTTATAATTTTTCAGAAAAATCCAAAATAAAATTAAAAAAGCAATTCTAAATATTTTAAGTAGTATATCTTTTGCACACAAAATGTATTTGTAATTAATACAATCGAATTTTTAAAAATAATTAAATGCTATTCACGGATTTATTGTCGGAACATCAAAAATACAAAATGGCGGATTCAATATGGTGAATGAATTTTAAAAAACTTAAGGGATTCGCTTCAAAATCGTTAATTGGGGGTTTTTTAGGTCGCTAATTATGAATTAGGTCAAGAATTATAAATTTAATGTCAGAATTTAAAAATACAAAATGGCGGATCCAATATGGCGGATGAACTTTTAAAAACTTAAGGGATTCGCTTAAAAATCATTACTCGGGGGTTTTTTAGGTCGCTGATTACGAATTTATTGTCAGAACTTCAATATACAAAATGGCGGATCCAATATGGCGGATGAATTTTCAAAAACTTAACAGAATCGCTCAAAAATCGTTACTCGGTGGTTTTTTAGGTCAAGAATTATGAATTTAATGTCAGAATTTAAAAATACAAAATGGCGGATCCAATATGGCGGATGAATTTTCAAAAACTTAACAGATTCGCTTAAAAATCTTTACTCGGAGGTTTTTTAGGTCGCTGATTACGAATTTATTGTCAGAACTTCAATATACAAAATGGCGGACCCAATATGGCGGATGAATTTTTAAAAACTTAGGGGATTCGCTTAAAAATCGTTACTGGGGGGCTTTCTAGGTCACTAATTATGAATTTAAAGTCTATATAAATAATTCTACTAATAAATTCAATATATTGGACTGAAAAAAATTTTAAATTTAATTTTTTTTAAATTTAAAATAATTAAACATATTCAAAAATTGTAGATGGATAAAAATTCGTGTTCCAGAGGGTAAAAAAAATCTTTCTACACCATTTAAAGAAACGTATAAAGCACCTGAAAAAAACTGTCATAAATTCAAAAAAAAAAAAAAAAAAAAAAAAAGCTGAGGCTTAAAGAAAGTCTATATAGTAAGCAAAATCATTGGTTGAAAAAGGATAGTGAATGAGGAAACCACGTGGTACATAGTTACTGGTGGGGAGTCGAACGGCTTCGTTTACCGCCAGCGACAGCGATTCCCCCTTGGCTCTCTGGGGTTGAGTAAGTCTCGCTATAGACATGGGTATAGACTGTAGTAGAGAGAGTTGCAGTTAGTTGCTATCCGACCGTTGTTCTGGGTGGATTATTCGTCGCATTCAAGTCTGATGTTTACACGAGTGTTTTAATTGTTTCCATTTCTTTTAGTTTTTTTTTTTAAAGTTTCGTTTAACAAGTGATAAAAGTGAATTTATATTTTCATCACAGTTAACAAATTCCCACCCACTCACCCCCCTTTTTTTTCTAGTGCAGTGATTTTAAATTTTGTTTTGCAAAAAAAGAAATTTTCCTATATTGGTTTTTTTCTTTTAGTGTGTGTAAATTTGAAACACCAAAAATAAAATGTGAGTGGTGCACATTACGTGTGATATGTGGAAATAAAAATCATAAGTTTTAAGTGATTTTAGTTGTAAAATTTTTGAGAAAAAAATAATTTTTTTTTTCAAAAAATAAATTCATCAGTTGATGTGCAGCGGAAGTTTTTACTTTTTTAAACAAGGATGTATCCGAGTGCCCAGGCCGTTGCCGTCGCATCTGCTGCTCGACACCCGGTAATTATTTTTTTTTCCCTTTCCCTCATCATATTGATTTGTATATTTTAAAACTAATTTTCTTTGTTTTAATAGGGTTTTTCTTGTAAAAATTCCTTTAAAATGAAAAGAATATTTTTTAGTTTTTTACCTTCATTTTTTAAAAAAATTAACTGCATGAAAAATTAGAGATATTTTTAAATCTTTGGTTTATATAAAATTAGTAGATTTTTATTGAATATATGCATTTTTTTTAAATTTCCCAATTGAAATAAAGGTATTTGGATTTATAGCGCTATATATATGTATGTAGTGTCGTAACTCCAATTCAGACATCAATAATAATAGCAACTAAGTAGCGTCATCAAAATATCAATTGAATCTTAGTAATTAACGTTTTGTTATCGATAATACAAATGATCGGAGGGGACATTGTTTATTATTGTATGTGTATTCGTGTTAACTAGCAATATTTGCTCAATTATTATTGCAACAGTTTACCTCTCACCTCGCCCATTCGGTAAAATGACTACAGCACAAGAAATTAACGTTTATTACTCGGGATTTATGATGATAATGATCTCGTACGGCTTACTCAGAAAATAATCATTTTTATCTGTCATTAAATTTTATTATGTCAATGATTTTGTTTCTTAATTTTTTTTACCACGCTCTTGTATTATAGAATTTTTTTTACATTATCAATTCCTTTTTCTGCAGGGAAAAAAAATTTTGTTAGAGAAAAATGAATATAAAAACAATGTTTTCAAACTAATATTTTATTAAAATAAAAAAACAAGTTTACAATTAATATTTTATTTCTATTAAAAAAATTTTTAAATTAAAAAAAATTATTTCCCGCCATTTTTGTTAGCGACTGTATTCACACTTTACTGACTCTGTAAATAATCTATACCCTAAACAAATATGTGATAAAGACATAAAAATTGATATAAAATTTATTTTAGCTACAAAGAAGGATAACATTTTTTTTTAATTTAATATTTTACTATATACATTTCAATATGTTTTAAAATATTTTATCACAAATGGTTAAATTTTATATTTTGATAATATATATTTTCGTGAAAGGAAAAAATTAAAAAACGCAATATTTAAAAAAGAAAAATAGGCAATATTTCAAAAAAAAAAAAAAAATTAAATTGCAAATTCTAATAGAAAGTTATTTTATACAGACTGATATTTTTGATGGCACCTTTCCCAGCTACACCACTGGAAAGGGTCGATATTTCATCAAAGACCAGCGAATAAAAGTGAGCAATGTTTCGCAATTGAATTGTGTATATATATATATATATGTCTATATTTTGTTCCATATATTAACAAATTGCGTGACGTTTTTTTTTCTTCAGCAAATATTTGTCTTTATAAAAATGTTTTCAATCACCACTTATTGTTGTTTCTTACAAAAAAAATGAAAAAAATGTGTTTTCGCACTAATATTGCACATATATAATAATTTGTCAATCATTTTTTTGTCTTTAAAATAATATTGTAATTTGACATTTAACACGAAATTCACTAGGCGCATGAATAAGCGATTTACAAACGTCTTTTTTTTAGAATATTTCGGATTTAATGTAATTTTCTATTTTTTTTAAGAAAACATTTTTGATTCGATTTCGTTTTTGATATTGACTTTGATTTTGACTTTCATTTTCATTTTTCACTTTCATTTTCACTTTGAGTTTCACTTTCATTAACGCTTTCATTTTCATTTTCACTTTAATTTTGAATTTCACTTTGATTTTGACTTTGACTATCACTTTCACTCTCACTTTCACTGACACTTACACTTTCAAAGTCAAATTTGAAATCAAAGTTTTTAAATTTAAATAATTTAAAATTTAAAATGAAGGGCAAAATCAAAGTCAAAATCATAGTGAAAAGTGAAAGTCAAAAACTGAATCGAAAGTCAAAGAAAAATTACAAAATCACACACCGAAGGTAAAAAAAATTCTGCAATAATGAATGGACCACTTAGTTCTGCAGAATTCAATCAGCGAAAAATTCTAAAAATTGAAGTAATTTTGTACCTTATTTTTGCGCCTAAAATCATATCACTTTTTTCTTTAATGGATGAAAAATTATTCCCTCGCTGTTTGAAAAACGCAGTTTTTTTTCAGAAAACATTTCTGAAAAATGGCGGGAGAAAGCAAGTAGTAACTTCTACTCTTTTAAATATTTATCGAAGAAGCGATAATTTTGACAAGCTCTCCTCTGTATATTTACAAAAAAAAAAAAATATCTCTCGGCTTTTTTATTTCATCTTTTTTTTCCACATTATACAAAAGTGTGAATGACTGTTCAAATAAAGAAAGTTTCGGAATTATAAAAAATTAACAGAAAACCTATTTTTTTTCTTCGTTAAAATCGAAATAATAAGTATATGTCATATAGCTTTTTTTTCAATTAAATTATTAACTAATAATTTAATTAAAAAAAAATGACTATATAGAAAAATTAAAGAAATAAGAAAATAACTTTTTGTTTAATGTTTATTGTTTTTCAAGAGGGGGAAATTAAATTGAGTGGAAAAAAATTTGTCACGTGATCACTAGTTTAAATTGGAAATATTTCGGTTCATGTTGGTTTTGAAATTTAAGTGTTAAAGGTATATATATATATATATATATATATATATATATATATATATGTATATATGTATAGAGGGAGAGAAGACAAGCTTTTGAATAGGGGTTTGGTAGGCTCACTTTGTTACCAAGTGTGGCTAATGTAAACACAGGTGCGATCTTTGAGCATTGGCAGAAATGACCTGGTTGAAGATTCCAGTTGGCTGAGCATCATCTCTGTTTACAGATCATTGTCATCTGCTACGACTGTCCCGTCGGCATTTTTCTCCCCCTTTTCAAAGAACATACATTCATTCATTGCTTTTTTTCTCTTCTATACTTTTCACTCTTTCGAAAAATTACCTTTGACGTTTCATATACATATTTTGTGAGCGCTTTTTAGTTCCACTTTTAGTTCCCCTTTCAGTTTCAGTTCCAATTTTGGTATTAGTTTAGCTTTTAGTGCCATTCACACAAAATGCGAAATTCAAAATGTCGGACCCAATATGGCGGTGAAATGTTGAAAAATAGAAATAAAATGTTTTGAAATTAGTTTTTTTTTTTTTTTTTTTTTTTTTTTGAGCCAAGAGAGTGAATCATTGAATGGGAACGATTGTCACTACAACACTTCAATTCACACACCACTATTTGTACAATGGAGATTTATAATACGCGCCAATTACACGTAACACGGTTCGCTCATTCCGTGGCATAATTCATCCCCGTGTAATTACCAATGCATATTGTGGTCACTGTGCGGGAAACATAGCGACTGAGTAGCCCCTCGAATTTAGTTTCGCCGTCAATTCGATTTCAATTTTACAGTAATTTCGTTCAGCAACTCCCAATGAGCTACTATAGTGAACAACATTCACTGTTGTGTAGATATAGATCTATAGAAAAGAGATGACAACTAGAATTCAACAATTACTCCTCGATTTTGATTTTTTTTTTTTGTTTTCTGCGAACAACGAGCTGAACTACCTTTTTGTTTTCCTTGGGAAGAATATATGTTGTTTTTATCTAAAATTGAATAAAAACGTAGTTAAAACAGTAAATAAATAAAAAAAAAAAGAAAGAAATTAAAGCTATTTTTATATTCTAGTGGAGAGAAAGGGAAAAAAGATATTTGCTAGCGAATCAATCACATTCGGGTTGATTGTTTTTTAACAGAGGAAGAATGTTTTATAAACGAATAAATATTTTTAACTTTTATTGCTCATGATAGAGGAAAAAAAGAGTAAATTTGTTTTTCGTGCTCGCGGTTAAAAGAGATATTGCTTTGATGGAGTAATTTTTTTTTTTGGTCTGCAATTGTCAGGAGAGAAAGGATTATTTTTTAAAGGAATAAAAAATAAATGATGAAGATTCGGTGTGAAAAAAGATGATGTGCATTTTCTTTTCTTTTGGAGAATATCCGGCTTCTTTATTTTTGTGTCTCATTTACTTATATGTATACGCGCGGTGCTTGACCGAGTTGACACAAGGCAGTTATTGGCACGCTATATAGGACTGCAGCACCAGTTTTGTTTGCGTACAAGCTGTACAAATATTATATCCGTCACGAAAGCAAATAGCTTATTGATTACGACAAAATTCAAAATGAAAATGTTTTTCTACTTACATTACAATATGCTCTGACATATTATTTTCAAGAACTTTGAAAAGTAGGAAGAGCATTTTCATGTTTTAGAAATTTTTCAAATTTTTAAGATTTGCTACGGATGCAACATTAAATTTTGCAATAGTTGCTACAGTAAATTTTACAACCGATTCATCATTGAATTCTAAATGTAGTGCTAAAATTAATGATACATTTGCTGATGAACCTAATGCTTTGTTACAAACTTAAAATAGATCTGGAAGGTCTTTAGAAACTAATTCCTCTAATTCTGTAAACAGTGCTAAAAATGATGGTACATTATATTCAGTATTTGATGCTTCACTAAATTCTAAAAATTAATTCTCAAAGTACTACTGAAACGGATTTTGTATTCAATTATTTGATGCTCCACTAAATTCTGAAGTTATTCCTCAAAGTACTGCCGAAACAGATTTTGTATTCAATTATTTAGTTGATGCTCCATTAAAACCTAAAGTTGTTCCTGTACTGCTTAAACGATTCTTCAAACTGCTGATGAAACTAATATTGTTGATGCGCTTCATTAAATTCTGAAAGCAATTTCTCAAAATTCTAAATATGATGCTACAATTATTGCAGAAACTAATGCTTCTTTACAAACTTAAAATAGATCTGTAAGTTTTTTAGAAACTGATTCCCCAAATTTTGCAAATAGTGCTAAAAATTATGGTACATTACATTCAGTATCTGATGCTCCACTAAATTCTAAAATTATTCCTCAAATTACTGTTGAAACTGATGTTGTACCAAGTTCTGTATTTGATGCTTCATTAACTTCTGACAGT